TAACTGGTAATTGTCTGGTTCAGACTCAGCTATACTGACGGGCAAAAGAAACTACACACCTTGATGCCGTTGCACAATGTGATCTCAGCGCTGAGATTACCGTTATTACCATACCATAAAGCTTTGTACAGCGGCACCATGGTGTTTTGTTGACTGTGTCAGTAAGACAGAATAAAAACATTTTTCAAAATATCTGCATTGGTTTTTTTCGAGAATGATTCCCGAAAACAGTTGCCTACTTTCTTACGTAGGTCAGTATATGTACAGTTCGCCGTCATATAGCTGTAATATTGTTGAGTGCGGCATTAAACAACAAACTGTTATCTATTGTAACACGGGTTTACCCTACATTCAGTACTGTCACGGTGGGTTGTGAGAAGTTCAGGCCAGACGAATTAGTGGTTGATAGAAAGAACACCATTCACCGTTGTTGGGCTATCAGACTGTCGGATAAAACTCGATAAATTGCTTAAAATGTAAAGTGATTGCTTAGAGAAATATCATGATGACTTTTGTGAACCAGTTCGTAAGCTTTCCTATCTTACTTTATGAATGATTGATATAAGCTATTTTTCAAGGTTGACTTACCCAACACCATTTCTGCCCTGGCAAAACGACACACAAAGATAAATGCACACACAGAGATTCACACGCTCGCGCACGCACACACAAATCTAAACAAAACCTCAAAGCACGAGATTAACCAACCACACAAAGCAACTCCAACTTGCTAACATATTGAGAATCAATCCCCAACAAACAGTACTCCGTGGCTCGTAGCTCACAATATCGACCACTGGGTTGTTTGTTCCAGAATCGACAATATATATGCCGCCAGTTGGTATATTGCCGAGTGTAGTGTTAGGCAACTAACACATGATCGCGCAGCAAGGCACATCCGTGAAGATCCGGGTTAGAATTGATCTTCCGTAACCCATGCTTGTCGTAAGAAGCGACTAACGGGATCGAGTGGTCAGGCTTGCTGACTTGGTTGACACATGTGATCGTATCCCATTTGCGTAGATCGATGTTCATGCTGTTGATCACTGGATTGTCTGGTCCAGATTCGATTATTTACAGACCGCCGCCATATAGCTGGAATATTGCTGAGTGCGAAGTAAAACTAAACTCACTTCCAAGGCACATCCAGTCCATATTACCCTAAACAAGTAAAAAGAAACTGAAGGTAATTGTCTGGTTTCGTGAGAAAAGCAGCGTCAGAGCTTCTTCCCCGATTGCGTACCTGTAATATATTTCGAAGGTAATGTTATGCATACCTCACCTTCATTGATTGTCAAGTTAGAAAAGGTTGATTATAACATACACCTACTTACAACTAGATAAAGAACACGCCGCCATATCGCTGAAATATTGCTGAGTGCGGCCTAAAACTAAGCTCACTCACTAAATAAAGAACATATCACATGTTGTTGAGGAGGACGGGTATATTGTAAACAATGAATATAACTTGTGAAAAATCCATTCAAACCATTTTAAACTAATTTGGAGGAAACCACTAACAACGCATGTTCTGTTAAAATAAAAAGCAAACTATTTCCTTGACGTACATAGTGGTAGGGAGACACCGCTCTCACTTTGAAATACGATCACGTCTAAGCAGCCTTAAACGCTATCATAGACCACATTTAAGGAAAGCCACATTTTAAAAAGGTTTGTAATATATGCTTTAACATACAGATATATGTTCATGCTGAAAAAAACGCTTACATGGAAAAGCTTTCTCATTGCTTGGGACGGCAGCCAAATTCAAAAGGTATTTTGAATGGAGAAATGCTGGAGATATATGAATGCAAGATAGGACCCCATGTCGATGTTGGGAATGTTTTTTCATGGCTATATTGCACCGTCTGATGGTGCGTCCCGTCACGGGTTAATGGGTGTAGTAATATAGGACCCATAAAGAAACCTTATTGAAAACAAATAGCTGGAGAGAAAATAGCCACACGTTGGTGATAGCCCAGTGAGCGTTATCATTACGGTTGTACCTGTACACTCAGGAAAGTGCTTTCCGTTTGACGTCAGAGTAGAAGAATCTGTCATATTTATCCCATTTACACTTTAGGTCTGCATTGTGAACTAAGGTCAGTAATTGAACGTCAGATGTTCAAAATATTCATACAAATTATCAGTGTATGATAACTCAGAAACTGTATATTTTGTAGACTTTTATTTAATCGTACTTGACACAATTCTTATGCTACAACTATGCGTTATGATAATGTTTCGGAATAAAGCTTTCACTACACATGTTTTTGTAAATTGAAGGACTTAACGCGAGAGACAGTCACATAGTACGTTGCTCAAATGAGCAAGTCTTGGTTCGAGGATACCGTCCGAGCACATTATTCTTTTTCAGAAGATTTCTTTTGATCATCAAGAGAACATGAATTATCCTTCATATTGTCAACAGACCCATGACTCGTCTACGACGGCCGATTGTTTTCTTTCCTGTCATTGTTAAACATATTTTTCCAGCCCAGTTTTTCCCATTGATGTGTTTTAGTGTGGTATTTGACACGGTCCCAGTAGTTAAAAACATACACAACAACGTTTCATGTCTGCTCAACTGTTATAATAACAAAGTGGTGTATAGCGTTACGCAGATTATTAAGTTAGCCAAATCTGAAGCTTTCTTACTTTGTTCCTCAAATATTCCCTTCAAGTAAAGGTTCTATCCGATAAACATTTCTCCATATACGATGACGACAGAACTAGCTATGCCCAAGAAGGTAAACGATTCCTTAGATCTCCAAGAGGTACATTTGGGAGTATTGACAGTATTCTAGTTAGACATTGTTCCCGATCTTTTCAATGTTTACAAACCAATTCGTTTAATCTTTTTCTCTTTGATGCAAATACTACTTATTCCGTGGATTTCTAGAATTGCCGTAAGCAGTACAAGAAATCTCGCCTCTTACTCCACACAAGTCCGTGGCACGTTAAGCGCTCTGGAATGGCCAGAGACCAATTCTTCCGAGCCGAGGTTATAAGCATACAGCATAGCATACAATGGCTGTCATCGTCTCGTCACAAAGAACTATGTGTATAATGATAACATGATAGACATATGAGGGTATAGAATTCACATTGACGAAACAACCGATGCTGGAGTTTGTCTTCAAAGAGAACTGGGCTTAGATGAATGTAGAAGAAAGAAAAACGTATTTGGTTTTGATAGTAAGTGTATTAAGATAAATACAATATGAACATTGTATATGAACTACAATGCTTTATACACAATGTGTCGCCTCCTGTACGTTAACTCATTGAGATACACGTAACTGCTAACGATATAAGCAGTGTAGACTTGCAGAATTCTCTAAGGTAATTAATAGTTTTAATGAACATTTCTAAAATAACAGTCTGGCGTCCGTTTATCTTGCCACTTTAATGGATAGACTTACTATACATCCATGGACCTAGCTTTGAGTACAGCCATGGAGCAAGGCTATGATTAGTAGTGTAGTGTGTATTGACAACACCCTGTCACAACAAGTCAATGTTTCAAATATGGATATGCGCGGAAACCGTTCCATTGGGACAGAGACACCCCTGTCAAATTCATCCTGACTGGTCTCAAATACCTCGTGGTTGGTGATATGATGGTTAATATTTCACCACTTCTCATTATGAACAAACATATGAAAACAAAACAAATACAGATAATGGCATAGATCCTGTCTGAGTTGAAACGGGATGTCCAGGAAGGAAAAACGTGGATGTGTTCGACTTTAGGACATAGGACTACGCCAGGGAAAACGCATTACACCTCCGTTGTTACTGTCAAACGAACCAACTAAAGCATTCTGGGTTTACCTAGTGTCCCACATGGGGAAAGTGAACACACCTGAAACGTGGGTGTATCTGTGTCCTTACATGCATCATTTAGTCACACATGACAGGAAAACAGATTGTGTCTACAGTGAATGAGGACTGTTTTCACGACACATTGGAAAAGAAATCAAATGAAACCTTAATAACGTTGAAATCATGTCCTTCATCTCACGTTATAAGATCTTCTACTCGGACGACTATTCATCCGCTTTCAAAGATGTTTTGGGCCTTAAACTAAGACGTGACATGAACATAATGACAGTTTACAAGCTATCCCATCACATAAACTGAATCCCGCCCACTTTCCAATGACTTCCAATATCAACGTTAAATAGTACCTAGCACCTTTAAATCCCAAATCAACGTGTCAAGGTAATTGGTATCAATCCCCTTTGTACACTAACATGCGAATATTACGATCAGCGGGCAGTGCACACATTCTAGCTTTTCCAATCACTCGCTGAGAGTGTTTGTTTCCGAGAGCTCAACACGTGTTCTGTGGGACAATATGTAAACATCGCCATTACGGGAACACTCTGTCGGGGCGCTGGTGAATCGCTGGATTCCTAGGGGACTGTGATAGGGCCCAGTTTACCTTAATCGCAAATGATCAAAGCGAAAGATCAAAGGATTTCGGGTCATCTCTACAAGAGGTCATCAAAACACGCGGCGAGAATTAAAGGAGCATGTCCACCAAATATGATTTTCATGTACTCGCGTGTACAGAAAACATCATTATTTAGCCACAATGGCTTTACAGAACAATAACGGACTGACAGATAAAAGTCCCATTAGAAGAAGTGGCCTGTGTCATATCGAATAACTGAAGATATATTGATAAAAGATGTAAATAATAGCCAGTGTCGTTCACTTTAGCTTATACCACAGCGCTTTTTTAGAGAGATTCCTCAAAACGTATAATTTGTTGAAGTTTATGTATGACTTTAGTTTTATAATGCAATCTATTCCATTTCTACTTACACCAATAGTAAGTGTAGTTAATATGTAATGTAATGTAAATATATTATGATTATTTAATAGTGTTATAATCAACAGGTGTGACATAGAATACTGCAGCATTATGATCAAAACTGATATCATTTTACAAGTTGTCATGCTTTTGAGAAGATAAGAAATCAACTTACCTTTTCTCCTTGATGGTGAAACAATGGCCTCGGGGGACACACATACCCCCCTCTCATATCGGGGGAGTCGCGAGCAGTCCAAGGCCTCGGGCCACGACACATTATAAGCGTTCATGACGGGCTCACACCCTGCCCTCGCCTTTTCGCAAACACCCTTGCACGGGGGGATAGGGTCGGGTTGGAAAGAGATTGTGCATATTGGTACATATATGGAACATAAGAAAAACAACAATGTTTCACTGCAGTTTTGGTTCAAGAGCAGCTCAAATCGTTCAAAGGCGAGCCTTGCATTCTCCTGGCTGCTATGACGGTGCAGGTTGGGCATCCGTGTCATATTGTAAGGCATAGATCGGCACTGTGGGATTTTTATAGGCTCGCATTGTTCGAGACGGTCAATAAATGCCTCTCCGGTCGAAAACGAAACAAGAAGAGGAGATAAGAGAAGTTTTAAACAAATCAAAGTCCGCATACACATCGTCTGTTTGTACAAGTATGTAAAATTCAAAACGTAAAGTATATGTGCGTTCACATGGAGAAAAAAATATAATCACGTGTAAATATTCTGACTCAAATACTGCCACATCCAATATCGTTTGTGCTTAAGTGTCATTCCTTGAAATCCATACTTCAGTTCCACAAAGAAACAACATTTGTTCAAATGTATTTTACAAATTTGCTCCGAAAACGATCCGCTTCGTCAAAGTGTCGTCTGCTCTCCTATCCAAGAACGGTCACTCTAGGCGACTCAAGTTCCGCGCGCGCTCGTCTCGTGCACATCTACAAGTGACAGACGACAGTAAGCAAAGCGAGGTAAAATGTCCATCATGTGGCGTGTGTATCGGGTACCTCGTGAAACGCAGGGCGGGATCAACACTGACGGGGAGTATCCCTCCTCCAAACTTACCCCCAATCAGGTCCTCCAATTTTTTCCTTCACAAACAAGTCACGGTAGGGATAGGTGATTTGTTTCTATCATTCACATCGACAATTTCTGACGCGTAGCGGCCGACGACTCATGTTTTAAACTCGGTTTACCTTCTCGCTCCTTTGTGTCGCGATTCCGTGTTTGTATTTGAGTCCCCTGGCTTGCGTCGTAGTCTGTCTATTTCTCGATAGATTTTCCCATCATCAAAGTGCGTGTCAAGTATACCGGAGCGGCCTCCCATAGCGGGATTTGCTCCGGGTTATCGAGTCTTATCTCTGTCCTCTTGCACATCATACGGCCGAATTCGCTCCCCACTTCAAAATAAAGGCCCAGCAATTCGTGTAGTCAAACTCTGTATTACAGTAGGACTGAGCCGCTGAAACTGATATTATCAAATGTATTAGACACTCTACAGTCGATAGCTACAGGCAAGCTGGCCATCACAATAGCTGTGTAAACAGTCACTGTACATCCATTGCCAGGATTCTTCCACTGGCCCTGCTGTAGTCTTTGATAGTGGTTCTTTTACTCAAGTCGCTATCTTAAGAAGTCTATTGCTTGATCGACGAAACCGATCACAACACCCCACTTTCAAATACTGTGTTACTGTATATGAGCGGCGAAATTACAAACTTCACAGACAGACGAGCTGTGGGATATAGGGAGGGGGGTGGTAGGGGTTGAGGGGTGGGGTGGAGGGTCTCTCAGGTTCAGCGTCTCTTCAACTGATAAAACCCTAAGAAATAGCGTTCGCTGTTGGGGTTATTCTCGCTTCCGTGTTAGCAAGGAGAATACTACACGACAGGTGAACGGTTTATCCCGCCGACTACAAATAATAACAGAGCTTGAAATTGGCCGGACTTTAAGCCAGGTTTTCTCGTTTTACCACGAGTATCCTTTGAACTGTGCAGTTCTAAAAGTGATAATCTTCTTATCAAAAGAAGAAGAAAGATGATCCTTCTATTGTTCTTGTGTACAGTCAGTTGGCGAGTTATAAGTAACGACTAGGGTGTTTGTGTGCCTGCCAACTCCGCCCTCCACACGCAGGGAAGGCTTTATGAGTTCATCATACCATCTCAGTAAAGAAAATGTAGAATTGTCGGAAACATCAAAAGAAGATCTTGGGCCGTGGCCTCACTGTCTGGGGACGACATACTTGAAGGTGCCCCTAATCGTCGATTGGGACTAATTATCAAAGAAAACACCGGGTAATGTTGTGAACGACACTCCCAGGAATTACTTTGACGTTAATTGTCTGTGACCTTTACCTTAACATAACCTCTAGGGTCAAGGTCGGCTGGCGTAATGTCTGCATGACGTGCTTTAATGAGTTTTGCAGATCTCCACACGGAGTTACCTCAAGTTGGCTGCGTCAGATTATGAAGTCGGTGAATCCTGAAAATTAATGGTGAATGTGGGGTTTTGGTATGTCACTTAATAATCAGAGATCTTGTATCCTGTGTCAGTAATGATAATAATAATAATCACAATGTGCATATTTATAATGCGCTAAATCCACACCTTATAGTTCTCAATGTGCCACATCATTACCCCAGTCAATCTAGATATCAATGTTCACTCGAGTTGGATTTTCAGCTGCTTGGGGAGTACACAACCCAGGCTACCTATGAGGCAGGTGAAAGTTAACATCTAATCCTGTCGGGTATCCATTCACTGCTGGATAAGGTACAGGGCCAATTAGAACAAGAAACTTGCCTACGTGCCATACATACTTGCCGTAAGAGAGGACTTACGGGATCGGGTGATAGACTCGCAGACAGGGTTGATGCATGTCACCGTGTCCCCGTTGCGTAGATGAGGTGGTGAGGTGAGGTGAAATTGGGTTTAACGTCGTGCTTGAGAATATCTCGCTCATATAACGACGTGCATGCGTGTGTATGTGTATGTGCGGCTGCTTGTACTAGTCCAGACTTAAGTCTGGCTATAGTGCTAGCCCACTGAGATACCATGCCGCAGTGAAGCATGAATACCCCACTCAGACACATTATACCGAGCCGACCAGTCCTTTTTGTACCCATTAATGCCGAGCGCCAGGCAGGGAACAACAAGTACCATATTTTAACGTCTTTTGGTATGACGCGGTCGGGGATCGAACCCGCGACCTTCCGCTCCTCCGGGTAGACGCTCTAACCACTACACCACGGAGGCGGTCCGTCGTGTGGATCAATGCTCATAAAAACGAAATGTGTTGCATGATATGTGTTACATGGTACATGTTACATGGTACATGGTACATGTGGACTATTGCCTCTATCCAGTCTTACATTACTCCACATTAAAGCAACGCCGCTCTTGGAGCGAAAGCCAGTCCAATATCGATACTTGGTGTATATTTCCGATATTTCCTGAACATGACTGGCTGACTGAGTATAGTTTTACGCCGCTTTTAGCAATATTCCAGCAATATCACGGCGGGGGACACCAGAAATGGGCTTCACACATTGTACCCATGTGGGGAATCGAACCCGGGTCTTCGGCGTGATGAGGGAACGCTTTAACCACCAGGCTAGTCCACGCCCTTCCTGATCATGAGTCTGGTGTCCAAGCTATATAGTAGCACATGATGCTATCACTGTATCTTGCAACACTATACGTACATCTTTAAGCTGCAGCCTACTATATCTGTTATATCTGAGAAAGGTAAGTTGTGAAGCAACCATCAACAATAGCAACTTACATATCATCCCGGCCATCGGTGAGTAGAATGTTCCACGGATAATATGAGCCACACAAGAAATTACGGAAACAACTGATGCATCGATTACAGCAGCAGTTATTGTGAAAATGTCGAACGAACGGTTACTAACAAAACTGACGAAGAATCACGTACACATGAAACTATAAAATACATCGGTTACCAATGAATGTATGGGGAAAACAGTTACTTAACTTAACTATAGTAATAACAATTACTTGTAACTTAATACTGGTTGTTACTTATTTAGTTTCCAGACATTTTATGTTAGTTATGAAGATACTTGATACGTTAGTTGAATGTAAAATTGCAGTATCGACAATTATTGATTTTAATCAGTAACCTGTTTTTAAGTTACGGGACAACAAGTGGTTACTAATGACTGTTCCGGATGAACAACGAGTAATGATGTTTCCGTAGTATAAAGTACGTACTATGAAGTTTCCAGGTAATGACTTGCTGATGGCTTTACAGGGCGATCAGTTACATATGACGTTTCCAGGTAATGACTTGCTGATGACTTTACAGGGCGATCAGTTACATATGAAGTTTCCAGGTAACGACTTACTGATGACTTTACAGGGCGATCAGTTACATATGAAGTTTCCAGGTAACGACTTACTGATGACTTTACAGGGCGATCAGTTACATATGAAGTTTCCAGGTAACGACTTACTGGTGACTTTACAGGGCGATCAGTTACATATGAAGTTTCCAGGTAACGACTTACTGGTGACTTTACAGGGCGATCAGTTACATATGAAGTTTCCAGGTAATGACTTACTGATGACTTTACAGGGCGATCAGTTACATATGAAGTTTCCAGGTAATGACTTACTGATGACTTTACAGGGCGATCAGTTACATATGAAGTTTCCAGGTAACGACTTACTGATGACTTTACAGGGCGATCAGTTACATATGAAGTTTCCAGGTAACGACTTACTGGTGACTTTACAGGGCGATCAGTTACATATGAAGTTTCCAGGTAATGACTTACTGATGACATTACAGGGCGATCAGTTACATATGAAGTTTCCAGGTAATGACTTACTGATGACATTACAGGGCGATCAGTTACATATGAAGTTTCCAGGTAACGACTTACTGGTGACTTTACAGGGCGATCAGTTACATATGAAGTTTCCAGGTAACGACTTACTGATGACTTTACAGGGCGATCAGTTACATATGAAGTTTCCAGGTAATGAGTGAGTGAGTATGGTTTACGCCGCTTTTAGCAATATTCCAGCCAAATCACGGCGGGGACACCAGAAATGGGCTTCACACATTGTACCCATGCGGGGGATGAGTTACCCGGGTCTTCGGCGTGACGAGCGAACGCTTTAACCATAAGGCTACCCCGCCGCCCTCCAGGTAATGACTTACTGATGACTTTACAGGGCGATCAGTTACATATGAAGTTTCCAGGTAACGACTTACTGGTGACTTTACAGGGCGATCAGTTACATATGAAGTTTCCAGGTAACGACTTACTGGTGACATTACAGGGCGATCAGTTACATATGAAGTTTCCAGGTAACGACTTACTGGTGACTTTACAGGGCGATCAGTTACATATGAAGTTTCCAGGTAATGACTTACTGATGACATTACAGGGCGATCAGTTACATATGAAGTTTCCAGGTAACGACTTACTGGTGACTTTACAGGGCGATCAGTTACATATGAAGTTTCCAGGTAACGACTTACTGGTGACTTTACAGGGCGATCAGTTACATATGAAGTTTCCAGGTAACGACTTACCGACTTACTGGTGACTTTACAGGGCGATCAGTTTACATATGAAGTTTCGCAAAGGTAACGACTTACTGATGACTTTACAGGGCGATCAGTTACATATGAAGTTTCAGGTAACGACTTACTGGTGACTTTACAGGGCGATCAGTTACATATGAAGTTTCATATGAAGTTTCCAGGTAACGACTTACGACTACTGTAATGACTTGACTTTACAGGGCGATCAGTTACATATGAAGTTTCCAGGTAATGACTTACTGGTGACTTTACAGGGCGATCAGTTACATATGAAGTTTCCAGGTAACGACTTACTGGTGACTTTACAGGGCGATCGACTATGAAGTTTCCAGGTAACGACTTACTGGTGACTTTACAGGGCGATCAGTTACATATGAAGTTTCAGTTGACTTTACAGGCGATCAGTTTCATATGAAGTTTCCAGGTAATGACTTACTGATGACTTTACAGGGCGACAGGTAACGACTAACGACTTACTGATGACTTTACAGGGCGATCAGTTACATATGAAGTTTCCAGGTAACGACTTACTGGTGACTTTACAGGGCGATCAGTTACATATGAAGTTTCCAGGTAACGACTTACTGGTGACTTTACAGGGCGATCAGTTACATATGAAGTTTCCAGGTAACGACTTACTGGTGACAGGGCGATCAGTTACATGGGCGATCAGTAACATATGAAGTTTCCAGGTAACGACTTACTGAGGTAACGACTTTACTTTACAGGGCGATCAGTTACATATGAAGTTTCCAGGTAACGACTTACTGGTGACTTTACAGGGCGATCAGTTACATATGAAGTTTCCAGGTAACGACTTACTGATGACTTTACAGGGCGATCAGTTACATATGAAGTTTCCAGGTAACGACTTACTGGTGACTTTACAGGGCGATCAGTTACATATGAAGTTTCCAGGTAACGACTTACTGATGACTTTACAGGGCGATCAGTTACATATGAAGTTTCCAGGTAACGACTTACTGGTGACTTTACAGGGCGATCAGTTTCATATGAAGTTTCCAGGTAACGACTTACTGGTGACTTTACAGGGCGATCAGTTACATATGAAGTTTCCAGGTAACGACTTACTGGTGACATTACAGGGCGATCAGTTACATATGAAGTTTCCAGGTAACGACTTACTG